TGGGAAAGGTTATTCTCAATCGATAAACGCGTGGGACTCGAGACTCACTTTGGTAAAAGTGATGACCACTTTTTCCTGGCGCACTATCTGCCTTTATCCTCTCAAAAGAAAATGTCAGGGTAGCCCGTCGCAGCGCGACTTCCACGAGACCAACCTTGCGGTGAATAGGTAGTACTTTTGGCCGGTAGCTGTTCTAGCAATCTCATGGAGACAAAGGAGCTGTAACAGCAGATAGTTGAGGTGATAGTTTGTCACTTCGAAGCCCGCACAAGAATAAAGCGACGCTCTAGGCGTACTTCCGCTTGAGGTTTTTAGATGAGCACTTTTTTCATACAGTGCGCTAGCTGATAACATGCCCAGCAGCATTTTTACCAACTTATAGTACCAAGGCTACATACATAATGTCTCATGGAGAATAAAGATTTGCCCAAAAACGCGCAGATAGTATCTCTGGAAAATGATGACGTTTGAGTTAAGAAATCAATGAAGCGACTTTCTTTCGCTCTTTTATCGCGAGTAAGTGAGAGGTTCACGTGTAGGTCCCCAGCACCAGTGCGACGAAAAAAGGTTTTTGACTTCACTGCGTGATTTGAGCCACGAAAAACATCATGTGCTTCATGGTGGGGTGCTCAAACAGTTTCTGCCGTCTGTATAATGTTCAGAGTCTGAGACTTGTGCAGCGTGGTGAGGAATGAGCAAAGTAAGCTCAGCCATCTTGGGAAATGTTGAGGTCGCGTATCGCGAATTTAGGGAGGAGGTGCTGGATAGTGGCTTGGAGATCCATTTGATTCTGTGCACGGGAGCGGACACCCGGTGCAAGTAAGCTCAATAGAGCAGGCACGGTAAAGTGCATAGAGTGGAGCGGAACTTCAGGCATAGTTGTTGTTCGTTTGATCGTCACTTTTGCACTTTTGAACTTTTGCACAGTAGTGGTGTGACTGTGGATTTTCAGTATGACCGCAATGTTGGTATATATGAAGGTTACCTGATTCGAAAAATCAGGAGTTTGATGAACACGGGCTGTTAACCGCAAAGAATCACAGTACTATTTTGAAACAGAGTCAGACCAAAAATATTTAATATGAAACATAAATAAGCTCTAGACGAATGAACTCCTGAAGTAGCAAACTAAATCAACAGCAATCGTTGCCTGAGAAGCTCTCGGTTTCGCTCTTGGCAGAGCTCACAAATTTAATCTCTGTGGATTCGTTAAGCGGACTTGAGAGTCAAGGATTTCTCCTGTGCAAAGTGCACTGCAACCCCGTTGTACACTCACTTCATTGGCTGTCTTGATATAAGTGATCATTTGTGGTCACTTTGGATAAGTAAGTGATCGGCTAGCGTACATATCGCATTAATTCGGTGATCCACTCCCTATCTTGTGTGCCCTCACACAAATTTCCATCGCACAGTTATGTATATCACACCATGTACAATTTCAGCTGGATTAGAATTCTGGTCTTTTTTCCGACGGCGACATTTCGCCGACGGCGGTGAAGAAGCAATAGCAATCCTGTAACTTTGTAGAAGTGTAAATGCTGAATAAAATACAATCTTTGCGTCTGAATTGATGCAATTGCGCGACCATTCTTGGCAAGTGTGTGTATCTACTTGAAGTGATTTTGATAATTATGTAAGGACGGAGGGTGTTACTCGCAACAGCAATTTTCAATGTTTCGATGTTTTCGTTGGAGCCGATTCGAGTAGGCTGTTATAACGAACACTAGTACGCTTCATTGTACATTATAATGGGCTGAGTTGGAAATGACATCTGTCACCACAATCAAACATTTTCGTATCCTGATTTTTCTAATTAAAGTGGTGTGATCGTGCGTCCTCGTCGGTCTGGATCACTCTCATTTTTGTGATCGTACTGCTTGACGTGGCTTCTTATCCCGCGCTTTACGATATTAATTCTAATGTGTGGCTCTAACTTTCACATTTGTCGCGTGACGTGATTAAAAATCATTCCCGAGATGCTGGACTGGCCTTGCATCTGGTCGTATTCATTTAACAAAGACAACTTTGTACAATTTTAACAATTTGAAATGCGGCAATTTCGTCAGCGCATCTTGACCTGATGTGCTTGGATTGCGTGCACAGAGTGGACGCATATGAGTAAAGCTGGTTTGATCGCCATTGTTTGACGTGCGCAGTTTTCGAAGTATTTTTGATATTAAACAACTGGTTAAAGGAAAGCTTGCAACCAATGTGCTTGGTGTGAAGATCCAGCGAATAACTGTCGTCATCCACATTACGGTCTAGACTTGGCTTTCTCACGTATTATTTTGTATCGACATCGATCAAGGTGGACAAAAAGTTTTGGTTTGCATCCAGAAATTGATGTATGGACACAGAAACTAAAGGACCGCCGTACAATCTTCCGACAACAAGTTTTGCATCATTGCAGCCTGCCACCCCAAACCATTCGCAAATCTTATTCTCGATGGACATGGAATGACAATGACAAGTAATAACTTTACATCGCTCCCATGGGAGTACAATTGTTGAAGTAAAGTGACTCCTAATTGGATTGGATGGCAAATGAAGGAATATAACCTTGACTTTATAGGATGGACGACATATCGACGTTGCCGTGTATTTCAAGCTCTTGCGTCTTGCAGCTGTGACGTTTGGGGGCTGACATGCTCATTATTACATAGTTTACAGCTTATCAGACTTTACTGAATCCTTAACATATGACTCATGACTCAAGCAGGAAATTAACACTATTAAGTATGGTCCGCCCTTCCGATCTTCTAATTAGTAGTCGTTTCACTCGATAAAACCTCAAGTTCCAGCGACCAATCCCGTTGGTCTCACGTGGCATTTCTACGGAAGAATTGGAGCTGACAGGTGAGCTTGACTCTTCGTGATAGGAATTGAAGCGTTAATAGACAAGACTAACGCGTAGTATTGTTTTGAATCAAAGTCAGAATTGAGTATGGAGTCAAGTAGTGATCAGCGCAAGTGTCACAACTGTGGCGAGGAAGGTCATCTCCGTCGTAATTGCCCCGAGGCCCCGTCACAGGACAGCGGTACAAGTGGATATCATAGCAATGCTGCCTGCTTTGGATGTGGGAAAACAGGTCACATCAAGCGTGATTGCCCTACAAGTACCAGTGGTCGTGCATGTCATAACTGTGGCCAAACGGGTCACATCCGTCGTGACTGCCAAGAGGAGATGCAGCCGCCTAAGTGTCACAACTGTAACGAGACTGGCCACTTACGACGTGATTGCCCTCATGAAATGCGTGAGTCTCGTAAATGTCACCATTGTGGCCAATCTGGCCATTTGCGTCGTGATTGCCCTGATGATAGCGGCGTAATTGAGGACAAATGCTATCAGTGTGGTGACACTGGTCATTGGGCTCGAAATTGTGTCGGTGTCAAAGAATAAGGAGATGCTATGATTTACAATGCGCGTGAGAAGGAACAGAGTGAGAGATGAGAGGTTATAGATGAGTGGCGGTGCGCAGATTCGCCACCTTTTGTACTAGTATTGTCCCGATGAGATCTTTGGTCGTCTGTAGTAGCGAGATACGTTATGAAGATGTGTAAGAGAAGAAGCTGCTGTGCCTTGAGGCTTAATAGGTTGTGGGCCGCGCATTCTTATCAATTTACGCATGTTGACAATTCGAACAAAACATTTTTAATGATGACATACACGAAAGGCGGTAACGTCTTTTGTTTTACATGCAAGACTGTTTCAGTGCTACATATTCATGATCTCTTTTTGTGTTTTTAAATGCGCAACCATCTTCGAATTGACATGAGCATTTTAAAGAGCGGACAAAAAGCAGTGACAGTATTCGTATCCAATGTAAATACGTAGCATAAGCAAAAGTACGAAGGTGAACTAATCTATCTTCTCTTTATCCTCTTAGGTCACTTTACCCTTGAGGAGGGGCATAAGTCAGCTCAGTGTCGCACTATTAGTTCGAATCATCATGGTTCATTCATTTTTTGATTTGCGTTAAAAGCCGCCGCCCTAGCTGCCAGTTTGCGATCGCGTTCGTCCATCATGCGATCCCAGTCCGAAATCAACTCCAGCTTGCTCTGCACGATCGTTAACGATAAAATGACCAGTAAAGAAAAAGTAATACGGTGTAATGTATGAAGAAGAAGAGCGCACCTGCATGTTATTACGGGCTTGCCATTTGTTGACAGCACCAAACCCCACACCCATGATAGAGAAGGCGACAGAGATAACCACAAGACCGGGCAGAACTTGGTACGGCATGTTCGTCCTATGAGCGGCTACCGCAAATTGTTTCTATCTTGAAACAACTTTCGCGCGACCTAAATCTTTCGATTTATACGAAATTTTGTACTAAAACAACATCTCCACTAAAATCCTAAATGCTGATGATATGTATGCTCTGACTTAGACCTCAGGCTAATAGCTCGGATTTTATGCGTAGAGTAGCGATGTAGACCTATACATATATTATCTAGCTAGCGAACTATTGCGGTCAAATGAACGCGCACTGACAAGATCAGCACTTTTAGCACCTCTGGCTGTCGAAAAACTGCCTCAAAACTCACAAGTTTTACGTCTATCCTATCCACCAGAAAATCATATGCTTCAAAACTGCAATGTAAGAGGCTCGCCGTGTGACGCGCCGACTACGGCATTGGTAGTTGAAGCAAGTTTATAATCAATCAAATTTAAGTACTGCATGTTTCTACACAATCGAGGTAGGGTAGAAAGGCATTTATAGCGTCAGTATGCGACCTTGTATCTTTCAGCTCACATCTGAATTCACCTGCGAAGCCTCCCACAATCTATCGAATGTTAATGGCTGCTCTTCGTGTAAGTCTGCGCATGCAGTGCATTGGATCTGTAAAACTAATGAAATCGACACATTTGTTGTCGTCATCCTTTGCCTTGCGTACGTTTGCCAATGCAAGCGCTTCATCACTTGGTCTTGAAAAATTTGGTATCACGAACGCCAAGACTCAAGTTCATCACAATTTAAGCTACGATGAAATTGCTGCTCACGAAGAGAGAAACAATGAAGGTCAATTTATTAAGAACGGCACGTATACAATTGACACTGGCAAATTTACGGGCCGTTCGCCTAAAGACAAGTATATTGTGGACCAGGCCCCATCCAGCAAAAATATCTGGTGGGGCGACATTAATCATCCTGTGAGTGCTGAAGTGTTTGACGAATTGTACAAGACTGTGACAAAACATTATGGATCTGCTGAAAAGGTCTATGTATTTGATGGGTACGCTGGAGCTCATGCTGCTTCGCGTAAAAAAGTTCGCTTTATCACAGAGCTAGCGTGGCAACACCACTTTGTGACCAATATGTTCTTGCGTCCGAAGACGAAGGACGAAATTGCAAATTTTAGACCGGATTTTACCATTGTGAATGCGTGTAAAGTTACGAACAAGAGTTACAAAAAGCACGGCTTGAATTCCGAAGTTTTTGTCGCGTTTAACATTGAAAAAGACGTGGCTGTTATTGGTGGTACATGGTATGGAGGAGAGATGAAGAAAGGCATTTTTTCTATGATGAATTACTGGCTACCACTTGATGGAATCATGGCCATGCATTGTTCGGCTAACAAGGGGAAGGATGGCGACACGGCGCTTTTCTTTGGTTTGTCTGGCACCGGTAAAACGACATTGTCAGCTGACCCACAGCGGTATCTTATTGGTGATGATGAACATGGATGGGATGATGAAGGTATCTTTAATTTTGAAGGTGGCTGCTACGCTAAGACTATCAATCTGAGTGCTGAGAACGAGCCAGACATTTACAACGCCATAAAACGAGATGCACTGCTTGAGAATGTGTTTGTCGACACTAAGACAAAAATTCCAGACTTTTACAACACGTCTAAGACCGAAAATGGCCGTGTTTCGTACCCGATTCACCACATCCCGAATTATGAGCCTACATCGAGTGGTGGTCACCCATCGAATGTTGTGTTCCTTACCTGTGACGCTTATGGCGTACTACCACCTGTTTCGAAATTGAGTGACGGTCAGGCCATGTATCACTTCCTATCTGGATACACGGCAAAGGTTGCTGGTACAGAGCGTGGCGTCACAGAACCAACGGCTACTTTTAGCGCATGTTTTGGTGCTGCTTTCTTACCCCTGCATCCGACCAAGTACGCTGACTTGCTGCAGAAAAAGTTACAGAGGCACAACACATCAGTTTATCTTGTCAACACGGGTTGGACCAGCGGTGGATACGGCGTGGGCAAACGCATGAGTATTAAAGACACACGAGCTTGCATTGACGCAATTCTGGACGGCTCAATTAAAAAGTCGGAGTTTACAAAGGATCCCAACTTTGGCTTTGAGGTGCCAAAGAGGCTTGGCAGTATTCCTGAGAATGTGCTGAATCCACGTGAAGCTTGGAACGACAAAGATGCGTATGATGCTACAGCCAAGAAGCTCGCGGGTATGTTCAAAGAAAACTTCCGAAAATATGTATCCCCTGGCGTCACGGACTACTCCAAGTTCGGCCCGAAGGTATGACTTCGTCTCTAGAGTAACAACGTCGTCTATAGTAATGTAAAGGATGGTATTAGGAGATGATGCTTATATATGACGGTCCCTGGTATTAAGCTTATTAATGACATACTTGAAGTCAATTTGTCATTGTCTTCACTACTGCCCTAATACTTTTGTTCAAATCGACCACTAAGTGGAGACATTATCTACAGCGGACACCCGAAGACGTTTGACTTCGTCGCCAACTTGATTCACACCAAGCGCACGTTCAAAAACACCTGCAGACTGACATTTACGTCGCTTTGGTGGCTTTGGGTTGTCGTGGATGCTCTCGATGTGATGCTTAAGCACTGTTTTATAGCCAAAACGTGCTGCACAACCTTCGCGTGGACACACAAAACGCTTTGACTTGGTCTCATCGTGTACTGCATTGTAGTGCGTCATCAAGTTTGATTTTCGCGTGTATGATTTGTTGCAATACTCCATTGGACAGACAAATTGCTTGCGATCGTCAAGTGACTCGAAATGTGTACGCAGGTGGACACGTAAATATTGTTTTCGAGAAAATGATTGGTCACAGACGAGACACAAGTGCACTTGCGTCCTCATGCTCACATCCTCGTGACAGCGCTCACTCTGCTTGTGCCTTTTCATTTCTTCCTCGTCAAAACATATTTTGCAACATTCACACACGTGAGCTTGGACATCCGCATTTTTGTTTGCTGTATGCTTCCTTTGATGTCGTGTCAACCAGAATCTTTTCAAAAAACGTTCTCCACAGTCTTCGCACTCAAAAGGCAGGACACCAGTATGGACGTAAGCATGAGCTTGAAGTTCACTATTCTTCTTAAATCGTTTAAGACACTTGCTACACTCAAACGGCAAATTTTCATTCCAATGCGAGCGCTTCATGTGCCTCGTCAAACCGTGATTGTAAGTATACCTGGCTTTACAGTGCTTGCACTGATACAGCTTTTGCTCATCCAAAGAAGGTTTCGTACCGCGAACGTGAGCTGCCTCAACATGACGCGTTAGATGCTCACGCTTGGAATATCTGTTATCACAGCCTTCGTGCTGACACCCAAACGGTCGATGTTTCCTTCTTTGACCGTGCGCAACCATGTCATTTGCAAATTGAAATTCCTTTCCACAATCGGCGCATTGAATATCGTAAACGCGTGATTCACACTCTTCAATAGTGTCTACATATTTGTTATCCTTAACAAACGTCTTGCTATCGCTCGTCAGTGTCGTATGTGTAGATTTAGTTGTATCACCGGCATTAGTAGATTTGTAGCACTCTTCAGGTGGATATCCACTAGAGCCTTCACACTTGACTTCCTTCACTACAGAGCATGAGGAAGACTCGGTCAGCGACGCCTGGACCACTGACGACATTTGTGGTGTTGATTTTCATGGTGTGAGAAACACAAATCTGGGTATATCCTTATAGCATCGTAACCCCTGCGATGTTGCTCGAAGCGACGTCAATGTCGGGCTGTAACCACCCACGTAGGCTTGCTCATTGTTAGATTGCTATCATCTTGTAGTTACGTACGCTGTTATTCTACAAATAATAGTCTGCAGACGATGTTCAAGAACACGTTTCAGTCGGGATTTTTGTCTATTCTATATAGCATTGGGTCCGTACTCTGTCAAATCTTTGTTGAAGCTTTGTCGCTCATTAACATGTGAACTTGTTAATTTTTAGAAGCAAGCCACTGCAGATTTGGGATAAACAAGTGCGTAATGGTCACATCAAACGGATAACAGATCAAGATATACAGTCATCAGTGTTGGAAATAATGGGCACAAATGTCAGCACTAATTTCATCACGTGCCCAGCACAACCTGCCAAGACGCTTGGAATTAAGTTGCCATTTCTCGTGATGATTGTCAAAAATCTGAAAAAGTATTTTACTTTTGAGGTTCAAGTGTTAGACGACAAGAACGTGCGTCGTCGTTTTCGAGCAAGTAATTACCAAAGTTCTACGCGAGTAAAACCTTTTATCTGTACTATGCCAATGCGGTTAGATGAAGGCTGGAATCAAATTCAGTTTAATCTTTCAGACTTCACGCGGCGTGCATACGGTACCAACTATATTGAGACACTGCGCGTGCAGATCCATGCCAATTGCCGTATTCGTCGAATCTACTTCTCTGACCGCCTCTACTCTGAGGAGGAATTACCACCCGAATTCAAGTTATTTCTGCCGGTACCTAAAGCGAATAACGCATCATCCAGTGAACAGCAGAAAGCTACTACTGCACCGAACGAGCAGCTTATGTAGGCAAGTAGATTGTCGATCATTTGAAGGAATATTTCAGTTTCAAATTTTTAGCCTAATTCTATTACTTATCAATACATCGAGCATTGCTGTGATCTAGCGTTATGATATCACATTCTAAGGCTCGTCGATATGCTACTTCATGTATAAAGTGGCTCGTAAGCTTCCTAAACAAGCTGAAAACTCGAAATCAATTTTATTTCCTAGACTTTCCTTTCGCAAATTGATCAGCAAGCCATTCAATACCGTCTTCAACGCCTCGACCAGTAACAGCGTTGCTTGCTCTAAAGATGAACATTTAAACGTTAGGTCAAACATTAAAAAAAGTTATAAGTACGTACGTTATGTGCCAAGATATGCTCCCAAGTTTGTCAAGTTCAAGATGCTGCATGCATTCGACAGGTGTAAACGCATTTGGCAAGTCCATTTTGTTGGCAAAAAAGAGGATCGGAACTTTCTTAGACACCAATTCCTTATGCTCTAATAGCTGCTCTAACTCGTCTTTAGCCACACACATGCGGATAGTGTCGGTAGAATCTAGCACATAAATAATTGCTTGGACGTCGCTGTAGTAATTTTCCCACAAACTCCGATATCGACTTTGACCAGACATGTCAAACACGGTAAAATTTAAATTGGACTTGGTGAACTCTTCCACTTGAAAACCGATAGTAGGGACAACCTCACGTGCTTGAGTGTTCTTGGGCTTTAAATGATTAACGAGCGACGTCTTGCCACTATTGTCCAATCCGACAACGAGAATACGAACTTGTGTCTTCTTTAAGCCGAGAGCAGCGGCCAACACTTTGAAAAGCCCCATCGTTGAACTTGTTACTCTCAAGCTACGGTGTCTCTACGATCAGTAAGTAAATATATCTATGGATGGCTAAATGTGTAATGTGTCTTGAATCCTTCAAACTCTAGAGAAGAAACGACTCGCATTTTCTAATTCAGGGCATATTGAATGTGCACGGTTTGTTCATGTAAACATATTGACAATTGTGCCAGTTATTATATGTGTATAATGGAGGAATAAGAGCTACTTTTTAGCACGAATATATTCAACTACTTTCGGCTTTTGGCATCACAAAAGCAAGCACGCCGCACTTGAATATCAACGGCAGACGCTTTCAAGATGCGTGGAAAGTCTGTTAGAGACAACGGATCCAGTAACACAACGCCATCCAGAAGAAGTTGCTGCAATTTTGGTGTGTCAGCTACTAAAAAAATGTAATTTGAACTCCTTACTGTTTCTTCTTGCTTCAAATCGTACTCATCTTGAAGGCAAGCCTTAAGAACGGTGATGGTATGACCCTTTTTAAACTGCAAATTTGCGCAAAATTAGCCAAATGCAATAGTGTTGGCTTGCTGATACTATCACAATTTACCTTTTTCGAAAAAGTTGAGCAATCTGGCATAAGAAACGTGATCTGATAGCAAGACATTGGTATGATGGTGCCAATATTGAAGTTATTATACGATTACCTGCACGGGTTCTTCTTGAAGAGCCATAACACGGTCAAATTTGCATTCTTCGCCTTCATTTGCTGATGTATCCTTTCGGTCTACGCTTATTAGCCCGACATTGTGCACTGGTTGCTGCATCTTACTTGCGGCCCTTCACTTCAATGTACAATGCTTGAAAATTTATGTGTGGTCCACTTAAGCCGCCAATTCCGCACTGAAATGCATCTTAAAATGCAGGCCGCCAACAATGCCGGCAGCACCTGGCGCAAAGTATTTGACGAGTTGTTGGTGCTCGAGCAGGATTTTGATACAGCCATGCAGATACTGATAAATCAGGATTCGAAGGTGGCGAAGTTGTCGCTTGAGGATACACATCATACAAGGAGCCAGCATGTTCATGACGCGAAAGTCAAAGAAGCCTCAATTAGATGCAAACGCCGCGGCATGAGCCGCAAACGACGGTGTTCTACGCGCGAATCCATACCGCGACCAAAACCTCCCCCAATTCCCTCGTCACATGTTTCAGACACGACGCGGGTTGTATCGGACATCCAGTCGAATGACTTCCTTAATCGGCTTAACGCGGACAGAATGGTTGGGAATCCCAATAGTGCTGACGACATAGTCGCTAGCCTTACTGAAGATGCTGAAATTACACTTTATTCAATTAAAATCTGCGCAGAGTCCGGAAAGCAAGTTTCGGTCGTTAACTCAGACACAAATGCGATTTTCAAGCGGATGAGGGTTGAAGGCTCCGACAGCTCAGCAAGATCGGGCGATCAATTTTTTGTACAGCGTAGCGCTAACACTAGTACTGAAGCTGCAGATGTTGATTGTGTCAACTTAATCTCAAATGTTGCAAGTACCGAACATTGTCAAGCTGCTGATTTGAGGCTAGTAACGAGTCTTTTTTGGACAGGGTCTGGCAAGCAAGTTTCGATTTCTAAAACAAAATTAAATGCGTATGAAAAGAAAATGTTGAATGAAGACCCTAACGATTTGGCAACATCCAGCAATCGATTGACTGAGCCTTTTCTACATCGTGTCACGGACATTGCTGCTGAACACGCAGGTGCTAATTGTGCCAACGTAGT